AGTGGGGTCACTCTCCTGCTTCCCTGTGTGCTGCTTCAGGTGGCACATGCTGAGCCCCGTGAGGTCTGGAATGCTTTACCTGGCCCTGCCAGTCAGTGGTATTCACCAGGATTACATTTTCCGGGAGGGCAGCATCTGACACCAGGATTTGATTCAGCTGGTCGTAAACCACCTTTCTTGGAATCTGCAGGGATAAACGTTTGTTAGGCACAGCCAGGGAGCCAGAGGCAGCTGTGCCGGAAGTGGGGAGAACCCTTGGCACTGGCATATTCGGAGTGTGGATACTAGGAATTTGTGAAAGATACAGACTCCCATTGGCCTGACCAAAATGGAGAGAAGGAAGGACACGCAGAAAGTCCTTGGAGGGCACACCTGCAACACAGCAGGCAAGGAGCCACGGTGGGGTTCTGCCAGGGAGGCCTGCAGGCTAGGGACACATGAGCTTCCTGTGAAGGGGTGGCAGGAACAGTGGCAGTTTACGTACTGGGAGCAGAGGAGTGAGTGTGGAGAGTGGGTATGTGGGGGAATGGCAAGGAGGGCTGTGGGGAGAGAAATAATGACAGTGGCAGCTGGCTCTGCACAGGGACCCACTGTCCCAGGAACAAAGGCGTTTTAGGGGTGATGATGAACCAGAAGGATGATACCTCACCCCAGGGACTGGGCTGTTCTGGTCTCAGGTTCATTTGTTGCTATGTAATAGTGTCAAACTCAGGAAGTCATATGGACACAAACTTTTCATATTTATCAGGGAAATGAACAGGCTGACTCTGCCTAACTCCACAACAGCGAGACTGTGAGGTATGCCAGCCCCAGCTCTGAAGCCACTGCTTCAGAGAGGACACATGCCCCGAGGTCTGGTTTCTTCTCATTTCTCCTCAGGCTTGCATGGCCCCTTGCATGAGGAAGCTGAGGTACAGAAAAGTCAGTGACTGAAGATCCCATAGGTAGGAAAGGACAGAAGTAGGGCGAGAATCCAAAGCTTTAGGCTTTGCTCCAGGTGGCGGTTGAGAGTGGGGTCACTGCCCTGCTTCCCTGTGTGTTATAACTACTGATGATAAAGCTCTGTGTGATGAGATAATGATACATGACAAAATAGGACTGCTGGGGAGACCAGTGCCTCCCCAATTCTAAGGGCCACTGTTCCGCTGACCACTAAGCCAGAGCCCATCCCCCTGGAATGGGACACCACAGATCACATCTGGGTGGAACAGTGGCCTATCCTAGAACCCAAATTAACAATTCTTTTTTAAATATTTATTTATTTTTAGTTGGACACAATACCTTTACTTCACTCATTCATTTCCATGTGGTGCTGAGGATCGAACCCAGGGTCTCGCACGTGTGAGGGGAGCACTCTACCACTGAGCCACAACCCCAGCCCCGCCCAAATTAACAATTCTTAAGCACCTAGTTCAGGAGCAATTAGATCTTGGGCACAATGAACCCTCCACCAGCCTTCACAAGACACCTATTTTTGTAATCCCCAAGAAAAATGGGAAACATAGGTTACTTCAAGATTTAAGGGGCTGGGGTTGTGGCTCAAGAGGTAGAGTGCTCACCTAGCATGCATGAGGCACTGGGTTCGATCCTCAGCACCACATAAAAAAATAAAATGAAGATATTGTGTCCACCTATAACTATAAATTTAAAAAAAAGATTTAAGACCAATAAATATATGAAAAAGATAGGTTCATTTCATTCAGGTATTCCTCATCCTGCCAGCATCCGGAGCATCTATTTTATTGTTGCTATAGACCTCAAGAATTGCTTCTTTTCTATACCTACAGCACATCAGGACAGACCCTTTTTTGCCTTTATGGTGTGGGAACCTAACACCACGACACCCACCCGGAGATATCACTGGATAGTCCTCCTCCAAGGGATGAAGAATAGCCCTCCAATATGCCAGCTCTTTGTCTCTCATGCGATCAGGCCTCTTACACAGCTTTGTCTGATCATACATTATATGGATGACATTTTACTTGCTCATGCAGATTCTGATAAATTGCAAGTCTGCCTTAAGAAGTTGATGTCTAACCTTGGCACCTTGGGCCTTCACATAGCCACTGATAAAGTGCAACATTCTGGCCCATGTAAGTTTTTTTTTTTTTTTTAAATATATATATTTTTTAGTTTACACAATACCTTTATTTTGTTCATTTATTTTTATGTGGTGCTCAGGATCAAACCCAGGGCCTCGTATGTGCTAGGCAAGCACTCTCCAGCAGAGCCACAATCCCAGCGCCCCCTCAATATGAGTTTTTAGGTTACAGAATTGCTGCAAGACCTGTGTGCTGCTTCAGGTGGCACACGCTGAGCAGCTGATGGCTGCTCCCCACATATTAGCACAAAGCCCAACTCCCTCCCACTAGTGGATGACAAACATGTCTGCTTCCTCTCACTTAGGTCTTTCATTACAGTCTTCTACTCACGGCATTTCAAGTGTTCTTTCCTCACCATCTAGCTGTCGAAGGAGGAGATTAACATCCAGGCAACCTCGGAGGGCCTGGTCTTGCTGGGGGACTACAATACCTGTGTGCTGTGGCCCAGGTCAGGCGAGCGCTCGCTGTCAGAGCTGTTGGTCCTCTCACTCAGGGGCTTGGAGAGCTGCCGCTCCTTTAGGGGTGTGCTCCTCTTCTGCCGAGGTGTGTGTGTCCCTTCTACTTTGCTGAGGGAAAGGGGATGTAGATGGGAGGGGAGGGGAGGGGTCAAGTAGCCCTTCCAACCTCAAAGCTGCACCAGCTCTCACCCTCCCTAGGTCCCTGAGTCTGTGCCAAGTTTGGTTGCAGGTCTGTGTCATCTGCTTCCCTCCAATTTGGTGTACCTGGGGGAGGCAGAGCCTTGCAGTTCTGTTTTGCTGGACTTCATAGGAGTTTTGACTTTCTCTGGCACAACCAGACTTGTGCCAATATCTCCAAACATGTCCTGGTCGGTGATTTCCTGCCATGGAGGAAGGGAACAAAAGAAGGTTACTTCTCACTTGACCACTAAGGAGTTCCCTAGAGCCTGTAGGGCCCATTACCACCACCAAAGCCACCCAATCACTCTCTTCCTGGAAGCATGGCTCTAAAACTATTCCTTCACCAATGGAGAAGCTACTACTGTTCAATTTAACTTCATCCTCCCACAATGCTGGGTTTCATCTGTTCCCTCCCAATTCTGCCCTCTATGACTACAAAGGTGTTTAGCACATGAACAGGTGCTGACGATGGGCCTTCCTCAGAGGGGTTGGGGACTCCTGCTCCCAGATGGGGAGGCAGGATCTCACACCTCGTCAGGGCAGGACCTGTGGCTTAGGGACCCGGTGATGTCTGTCTGCGGCCTCCTCACACTGGTCAAAGCCAACCTGCATCTGCCTGGCAGTCAATCACTTCCTTCTCCACCCAGCGACCTCCTCCCACCCTGAGTCTAGGCTTCTGTCTTTCCTGGATCATTTTGACAATCTTCAAGAGTCTTACCTTCTCCCCTGAGAACCCATCCTGTCTGCTCACTCCAGAGTGTTCTCTTAAGATCAAGGTGTTTCTATTGGGACACTGCAAACTGCTCAAACAGCTCTGCACAGTTCCAGTGGGCCTTCGAGGTATCAAGTCAATCTCCCATAAGCCCCCAGGATGACAACTTCCCTGATGCCCTAGCCTTTTGAAAGACTGCTTTCCACACGTGTGCCTGCTTACCTCCCTGCATTTGCCATCCTTTATGTTTTAAAAATGTCTACTAAGGAATAACTTCCATGGAGTAAAATGTTTAGATCTGAAGTATAAAGTCTATTTATCTATTTATTTAGCAATGGTGGGGATCAGATCCTAGGGCTTGGCCCGTACTAGACAAGTGTTCTGCTCCCTAGCATAAACTTTGATTTTTATGCAAGGATAGCCCCAGGGGCCATTAACTAGACCAAGAAAGAACATTCCAGTACACTTGAAAGGTCCCAAATGCCCGTTCCCATTCCCACCCAGTACCCTGACTTCTGCCATCATAGGTTAGTTCTGCCTCTTTATGAATTCCACAGAAAAGAAATCCTATGGCATGCTTCTAACATTTGGCTTTTTCCTCTCAATGCTAAGTTAAAATTCCATTTGAGATATAATCATTCATTGGGGAGTTTAAATCAAGAAGTAACCTGACTAGAATTTCATCTGAAAAGATCACTTGTAGTAGTCGCATGCAGTATGGACCACAATGGGCAAGAGTGGAAGCTGGTGAACGAACAGGTTAATACAGTACATTTTAAATCTTGAATTAAGCCTAATGCTCCATCGTGCATGAGATGCTCAATGTAGTATTATTTACTATATAAAACATAAGTCTAGGGGCTGGGGTTGTGGCTCATTAGTAGAGTGCTCATCTAGCACGTGTTGTGAGGCCCTGGGGTTGATCCTCAGCACCACATAAAAATAAATAAATAAAATAAAGGTATTATGTCTAACTACAACTAAAAAAAAAAAAAATTAAACAAAAGTCTAAAATAACTTCCATGGACTCCATTCAACTACCAGAAGGTCTCACTTTGAGGCTCAGATACAGCACATCAGATGGCATTCTCCCTCCCACCTAGTGTCCAGCCTCCCATCCCACTAGATGAACTGCAGGGTGTCTTGCAAGGCCAGCTCAGATGACCTCTCTCCAGAGTGCATCCCCCTGCACTTCCCTGGGCCTCTAACAACGTCTTGTCCCAGGTGTGCACAGGTGGCTACCCCTGCAAAGGGGAACTTGGTGGCAGAGACCATGGTTCAGGCATCTTTGCATCCTCTGTGCTTAGCACCAGAGGTGCATGGTGAATGTATATGCAATTCAAGGCTCACTTGGGGGCCATCCCAACCGACTCCACTCTGCCTCACTAGGCTTTGGCTTGCACCCTGGGCAGCCCCACTCCTGGAGCAGGAGTGATCAGTAGCCACTCAAGAGATTTAATGCTCACTGCTTGGCCATGTGACTACTACAAGTGATCTTTTCAGATGAAATTCTAGTCAGGTTACTTCCTGATTTAAACTCCCCGCTCTTTGGATTCGGCGGCCGACGTGAGATGACGAAGGGAACGTCATCCTTCGGGAAGCGTCGTAATAAGACGCACACATTGTGCCGCCGCTGTGGCTCTAAGGCCTACCACCTTCAGAAGTCGACCTGTGGCAAATGTGGCTATCCTGCCAAGCGCAAGAGAAAGTATAACTGGAGTGCCAAGGCTAAAAGACGAAATACCACCGGGACTGGTAGAATGAGGCACCTAAAAATTGTATACCGCAGATTCAGGCATGGATTCCGTGAAGGAACAACTCCTAAACCCAAGAGGGCAGCTGTTGCAGCCTCCAGTTCATCTTGAGAGTTCCAACAATTAGCCACCCAATAAATGTACTGGTTTTTTAAAAAAAAAAAAAATAAGAAAAAAAACAAAAAACTCCCCAATGAAAGGGGAAAGGGACAGCTTTTCAAGGGAAGACACTGGTCATCATCTTTTGGAAGTAAATGACAGAAATTATCCCAACTATTCAACCCTAAGATGAGCTCTGATTAAAGGGCAGAATGGGGACATTTCTGGTTTGTTAATGTGGGCAATGAGCTGATCTTAGGGTCAGCTCTACCCCACGCGGAAGGACTTCAGGAGGAAAAGAACACAGATGTGCACCAGCCCACAAGAGTCTTTCTGCCTTTATTTCCAAAGGTGCAGAGAATATCCAAAATGGCTAGAAGAGGAAATGGAATCATACGTACCAGAGTGTCTGTTTCGGTCAAGCTGTCATCTTGGTTTTTAATCCAAGTAGATTTGACTTTTTCTAGAGCAGCCAATTCCATCTGCAAAATTTATAATAATTGGTTATCCTTGATCTAAATGATTATAACTCTAACATGTTTTACTAGGTCCCTAGATGCTTAAAATACTTTTAGTGTATTCAACCTCAGAACATCTTTAGGGCTCTTATGAGGGGTATATTTTTGTGAAAACGAAGTTTCAGAGGGGTCAGTTATTTTATTAATCATTAAGTGAATGACACAGAGATGTGGGATTCAGAAATTCTGACTCCCACAAGATGTCACTAGGGAAGAGAGGCTCAAAGTTAGATGACTTTGCAATTGGATCCAGTCTTTGACCCTGAATTCAGTGGACACTTTTGCCCTAAAGGGAAATATGGAGGCTTCCTCTGCATAACAGAGAAGGGAGAATCTTATAGTTTGGGTCTGTGATTTAAAAAAATATATATTTATTTTTTAGTTTTAGGTGGACACAATATCCTTATTTTATTTTTTTAAATATTTTTTTAATTGTCAATGGACTTTATTTATTTATATGTGGTGCTGAGGATTAAACCCAGTGCCTCATGCATGCTAGGTGAGCACCCTAACATTGAGCCACAACCCCAGCCCCATGGTCTATGATTTTTAGACTGAAGATACTCATGGTAGCCGAATGCTTTCCCTCCCTGGACACTGGGGCTGAACCCAGGGTGCTCTTCCACTAAGCTACATTACCAGTTCTTTTTATTTAAAAAAAAATTTTTTTAAAGATGTTTTTTAGGTGTGGATGGGCACAATACTTTATTTATTTGTTTTTATTTTTATGTGGTGCTGGAGATCAAACCCAGTGCCTCAAACATGCTAGGCAAGTGTTCTACCACTAAGCCACAACCCCAGCCCCATTATTTTTTAAAATTCTGAGAGAGGATCTAGCTAAATTGCTGAGGTTGGCCTTGAACTTTTGATCCTCCAGCCATAGTCTCCCAAGTAGCTGGGATTACAGGAGTGGCCACTGCAACTGGTGCCCAATGCTTTTTAGTTTTCGGTGGACACAACATCTTTGTTTGTATGTGGTGCTGAGGATCGAACCCAGGCCACACGCATGCCAGGTGAGCGCGGTACCGCTTGAGCCACATCCCCAGCCCCGCCCAATGCTTTTTGATTGGTAGAAACACCCAGAAAACTCTCTTAACAGAATATATATTAAGCAAAAAGATGCCTAATGTGAAACCACATGGTGGCTCATAAATAATGAAGGTTTATTTTGCAGATAAAGATAAATAACTAAATATTTAGTATTAGGTAACATGGCTTCTAGCTATTCAGACAGCAACACCACAGCCAGGAGCAGCATGTGCTATGGGTCTTGGATGTTGGGCAGGCACTGGCCTCAGTGAATTTCTTTGTTTCTTCTAAGGAACCAAAGGAGGAAGAAAATATAAAGGCTATTCTGCTTCCTCTCAATTACTCAAAGTCCTTTCTCTGAGTAAATGTCATAAAACTGGGAACATCAGGCTAATACATTCAGGGGGTCACCGGATCAGCTAATGAACAAAGACCACAAGAGCAGGCTTCCTGTGTCACACTCTAAACCTGGGTTTCTCCACTTCAGCTCTGCTGACAGTCTTGGTGGACCAGCTGTCCAGGGCACCACAGGATGTTTAGAAGCATTCTTGGCTTCTGTTCACAGATGTCAGTAGCAGCCCCCCACTGGGGACAACCCAAAACATCTCCAGTCACTGCCAAATGTCCCCTGGCAGGCAAGGTCACCTAGTGGAGAACTGCTGTTCAGAGCCATCTGCAAGGAGAATCCCATGGTCACTTGCTAGACCCCATGACCTCAGGGCTGAAGGTGGGGTAGCTTGGGTAACAGCTCATAGCCATGCAGAACAGCATGCAGGTAGTTTATTTACACATTATCTACATGACTAGCCATTGCTAACAGAGTTTAGAATCCCATAACAGCACTGCTGATGATAGTTCTCATTCACTTTCAGATCAGCATGGACCAGAGAGGGAATGCAGCTCCACTGGGGGTTTTAAAGTAACCTTGTTGGTTTCTTACTATGTTTCCATGGCAAAGGGGGCATTTATTGAGATGTAACCCCCATTAGCTTTTTTGTTTAATGTTATTGTATTTTTAAAATTTTTTTTTAGTTATAGGTGGACATAATGCCTTTATTTTATTTTTACGTGGTGCTGAGGATTGAACCCAGTGCCTCATGCATATTAGGTGAGTGCTCTACCTCTGAGCCACAACCCCAGCCCCCCACATTAGCTTTCTGTTGTTGTCTTTTTTAAGGTTATCAGGGTGAGAGATCTATTATAAAGGGAAAGTCTGCACTCAAGTGAGGGTGATCATAGGGCAAGAACCCCCAACTAGCTTTATTAAGGCATAAGTGTCAATAAAAATTGGAATTAGCTCCTAATTTCTCCAAACTTCTGTTCCAGCCCAGCAGTGCTCCAGCTGTGTCTGCCTAACTGGCACTGGAGGGGGCTCCCAGTCTGTAGCATGTGCCCACAGGTAATGGTGGCTGTTGAGGAAGTGTGTGTGGTGAGGGGGATAAAACTCTAGTCTCTAACACATTACTGACAGTGCTATGGAAATAGCAGCTCCTAGCAGCAGGCAGTGTCTTGGGTCAACTTCCTGAAGCACTGTCAGGGCCTACTATTATCAGCATAAAGAGCCAAATTATGTTGCTATGGGTGCTGGAGCTTTCAGAAAACTCAACAACTGCAATAATTTGTATCAGGAATTTCTTCTGGTTCTAGTGATAAACCAAATCTTCTGAGAAGCTGGGAAACAAAACAAAATAAAACAAAAGGTGAATTTAAAAAAATGAACATATGGGGCCGAAATGTAGCTCAGTGGTAGAGAACTTGCTTAGTATACATAAGGTCTTGCGTTTGATTCCTGCACCTCAAAACAAAACAAACAAACAAATAAAAAAAAACCCACCAAAAAACAAAGAAGCAAAAATATAACAGTGACAATGCTCAGCAGTAGGGACAAGAAGCCACCAATGTGAGGCAGCAGCTACCCAGATAGTCCCTAGACACGCACAACTGTATGTTGCTCCTAATCTACCAGGAAGTTCTCCATATAAGAGCACAGGCTTGTTCTGCTGTTCCCAAAGTGCCTTCTTACCAGAAGATTCCACAGTTCCACACCCACATCAAGACATATGGGGCTTTTCAAAATAGAACTCTCAGTAGGGGAGCAGCAAAGCAAGTCTGAGTTCTAGCCAAAGAACCAGAATTTGAAGGACTTGTATAAAAGACATCTAAATTCTATCAATTTTAGGAGTCCAAAACTGAAATGGCTTTAAGGAATTATGATAATAAGAGCAACAGCAGCTGACACTTGCTGCAGGTCCCCAGCAAGCAACCAGTAAACAGCTCCTGCTGGAGGTCTGACCTGTATGATCTCACTGTATCTCCACGAGGCCTGGTGAAGCATGTTTCTTGACAAGTACTTTGTAGATGAGAAAATGGAGGCTTGGGAATTTGACCAAGATTACAGTCACTGGAGTCACGATTCATACTTAGAAATTCTGCCCTGCACAAATGCATTCTTTGCCTTCATAGGCCATCACATTGTAGAGACTGATATTCCATTGCCTTCTGAGGCAATGGGCTCCTGTGCCTACACCCTTACCCTACAAATAAGACATCTGAGGCTTAGACTGTCAAAGTAATTTTTTCCTCAAAATGTTGTAAACTATGTAAGTGAGACTAAAGCAGAACCTATAGTAAAATTCTATCAATCCAGAAACAATTCTGTTGTTATAAATTAGTTCTTCTTAATGACCAAGTGACAGGGAGCACTAGCACCCACAGAGCATGCCAGTGCTGTGATCAGTGCCCCGTGGCATCAGCTTGGCCAGCACTTGTCCCACATTCCAGAGCACTGGGTAGCAGCCTTCCCTCAGCAGGCCCTGGGCTTCTTTCTAGAAGAACTACAACTTCTGTTTAAGATGGAATCTGGCTCTCGTGGCCAATGGTCTGTCCACAGGGACAGTGACAATTCAGCAGGGCCATTCAGCAGCCCCCTGTGAGGAAAAGGAACTCTGATCCACATCCTAAATGCTAGCAGTACAGTAAGTGAGGACCCTCAGGCCCAGATCACCATGGACCAGAGCTGGGGAGGCACTGGGTCACTGGTGGCCAGGCAGGCCTGAAGCTTGTCCGTGGGAGGATTCTTGGTGTGGACCCCAGTTTTCCTTCCTCTGTCTCCTAACACACTACCAGGCCATTCTTGATGGGTCTTAACTGGGAAGAGGAATAAGCTAGGAGACGGTGCCACCTGGTGACAGCAGGCAGAACAGCAGCCACAGATGCCCCAGGAGACACTGGTGGTTTGTGCATGCAGGAGGACACAGCCCTACTAGACTATGCTTTCAGGAGATGGTGTGCCTGGCAGCTTTGGATCATCTCCTCATGGTTAACACCTACTACTTGCAGGTTGAGCTGTGTATTCCCTCTGTGGACGGGGGACCATATCCCTCATCTTCTGCCAAAGCAGCAACAACTGGAGGATTTGGCTCCTCTTGTCTACAGAAAAGACAGCTCTGCTCTGCAAGCCTTTAGGTGTGAACCCAGGGCA